AGGGAAAGCAGAAAAACCAACCTGAAAATGCTGCCAGGAGTGGTGGCCACTCAGGCCTAGGTTGTGGCAGAAGAGGTGGTAATCAGTGGTGGAATTCTAGGTGCTTTGAAGGTAGAGCCAACTGGATTTGCAGGTGGATAGGATATGGGTGTGTGAGAGAGAAATTGGCATTCAGGACTGCAAAGTTTTGGTTCTGAAAAGCCAGATGGTTCCATTTACAGGGATGGGGAAGATAAGAGAAGAAGCAGGTTAGTGTGGGGGCAAAGTGAGGACAGGGGAAGGAAGAGTGAAGAGTTTGGTCTGGGAAGGACTTATAAAGAATTGAGGTGTCCATGAGGCATCCCAGTGGAGATTTGAGGAGGCAGGTAGGGATATTTAATTGGGAGTTCAGGGGAGGTACTTGGCCTGAGATAAAATATGGAAGTCATCTGCACATAAATTGTTTTCAAAACCACTGATCAGTATCAACAGTGAATAATTGTGGAGAGAGATGAGGATGGAGGCTTGGCATCCTCCAACTTTTAGTTTGGAGAGATGAGAAGACATGACCAAAGGAGATGAAGAAGCAGCCACAGAAGTGTAGGAGCACCAGGGGAGAGTGGATAGGAAGGGAGTAAGGAAAGTGTGTCCAGGAGGAGGCTATCAGTGTCACTGATGGGTCCTGGCTTGTGATGTCAGAAACTGTGAAAGGCCCAACTTTACCCTATTTGCAAACTAACGAGTTATCTTTCCCCAGTTGACACACACATGCATGTGCATACACACAGACACGTACAATGATAGAAGACGCAAAGCCCATGGGTCAGAAACATAGACTATTTATTACTCACAGCTAAAGCAACAGCCTGAGCAACATCTTCCATTGGTTCCTTGTGCTCCACTTCCCACAGGGTGATATAGTGACGCCAGATGTTCCCTTTGCTCACAGGGGGTTATACCACAAGAATTCATGAGGGCTTCACCTTTTTAAGGTCACTATAAGTAGGAATGGATGACAACAGGTTTGGTTATGGGTTTGTCTTTCCTATCCTGGGGCATCTCTAGGGAAGGCGATGTCTCTAACTTTACTATCCTTGACAGACACCTGTATAAACATTCTGAACTTGGCTGTAAACATTATTCAGGGGATCTGGACTGGGCAGGAATGTGAAAAACCCATGGAGAATGATCTGACAGATCCTTCCTCCATTTCTACATGATCGTAGGCCCTGATGAATTTCCTCACATATATGCCACTCCATTGGCTATTCAGAGGAATCTGAGACCCTGCTGGGACCAAATCTGCTTGATATGCCTTATGAAACATTTAATTAAGGCTATTGTCAGCAGAATCTGAGCAACATCTGCAGTATTGGTCTCAGGATGCCCTAGGATCCCAGATCCAACCAGCTGAATATCATAAAACAAGTTGGCTTTCTCCTTAAGTTTCCATGCTCAAGTCTCCACCAATCCCAAAGCATTAATACAGGTACAAAGAAGAACAACTGCACAGCCATTCCCTTGACCCACAAGGAGGCAGTCTAGGGAATTCTGTCATCCATACAATCTTGGCCAGTGAGTTGAGACTAACTTGAATGTCTTCCAGGGCTTAGTTGGTATCCTTGACCACTTCAGCTAAACTCAGGGAATTTTTTACTACCTTTTCTAGTTGAACTACTCTCCTAGTAAGTAAAACCACCCACAAAATGCGTGTGAATAATGAGTGTTATCCTTCAGGAGGGGATATTGGTGGTTCAGTGGTAGAATTCTCACCTTCCATGCTGGAGACCCAGGTCTGATTCCAGCCAATGCACCTCATGCTCAGCTACCACTTGTCTGCCATGTTGCTATGATGCTGGACTTCCACGGAGCTTCCAGCCTAATATGGACTAGGAAAAAAAGGCCTGGCAATCTATTTTCAAAAATAAGCCAGTGAAAGCCCTATAGATCCCAACAGTCTGATCCATAACCAATCATAGGGATGGCACAGGACCATACAATATTTTGTTCTCTTGTAGTTGGGGTTACCATGAGTTGGGGCTGATTCAATGGCAGCCAACTATAATCCCTCCAGAAGCTCCCTCCAATAACCAAGGGTAGCTTCATCTTGCAGAACTCTGTATGGTCATCTGAGGGCTACATGATTTACCAGTAGAATTTCCTTAAACACTTGAAGGTCCCTTATTACTACCTCTGAGGTGCAAGTCAGCATGCTCATGGGGGAAGGGCAGAAGAATGCCTGGCTCCCATCCAAGAAACACAGTCCCAAAGGCACACTTGAAACACTAGGAACAATTATCGTTGACAGATTTTCATCCCTCTCTCATAAGACACACTTCAGCCATATAGCATAAGTTGATAGTGCCCTTCATGTAACCACCCATTGGAATATTACTGTCCCACTCAGACTAGCTGGTAAACCTCAGAGTTCCCAGTTCAGTATGAATAATCAACTTCAGTCTTCGATTTTGGGGGAACTAACCAAGAGCAATTGATTCATTCTGTCCTGCTTGTCCACAGCACTAGCTGGGTGACATTTGTCCACCTCTGTAGTGACTGAGTGTAGAGGTGGAGGTGACAGCCCAAAGTGTCTTCTCTGGGACCTGCAGGAGTGGGGCCACCTGTGTCTTCTTGTCATAACTGTTGTTGGGATTGGCAGACCCAGTAAGTAGTTGACTAAATCAAAGGCACTTACAGTAGCTTGGGAGAGCTGCACCAGGAGAACCATGAAAATCTGAGATTCTCCCCACCCCAATGTAGCCCAGAACACTCAGGCAGATGCATAGGGCCTTCAGTCAGTCTTAGGTACAGGGAGACCACAGCCCCCTCCCCACTACTTATTCTTCTCTGGAAGCATTTGCAGTCAGGTAGAGGGTAGGACATTTGGGGCATGGGTGGAACAAATGACTCCATGCCATGGAGCAAGACACAGTTACTTTGCAGTTCACCTGCTTAGCAGCTGCTCATGGCTCCACAACAAACTTCCAATGTTGTGGCTTACTTAGAACTCTCAACCGGGCTGTGAGACCATCATCATCAATACCTCCTAGCTCAGTTTTGGGGACCTCTTGATTTAATTGGTGCTCTACATTGCTTTCTGGGGAATGGTGGATTCTGCAGTATAGTAGTGACTTTTTTTAAAATACCATAGGATACCTTACCATGGAATATCTGCTGGCCCATTGTCATATCTCTTAATCTCTTAGTAGGTTTTGATATGAGGGGGTTTAACTAAAGGAATCTTCCAAGGAGGCAGGATGGATTGTAAGAACATCTCTAGATTCCTTTGGGTGACTTTCATTCCCAAGTATGTCAGCTGTGTCAGCGTTACAGATTCAGCCTGGTGTAGTAAGAGCCCAAGTGTTAGTCTGTGCCTCACTGTGGTTCTCCGACAGGTGTTTGTCTGTGTCTGAGCCAGGACCCACTGCAAAACAGTCTGAGATGCTTTTCTGTCATCTCTGGACAAATCTAAGCCTGGTAGGACAGACACAGGAGAGGCTGAGCCATGAGATACCCAACTGCTGCCGTTTGTTCTTCCCAAGCATTTGGTGCCTGCCCCCCCACCCCGTCCCAAGTGAGCCTGTCAAAGTTCTAGCCCAGCTTCTGGTTTCTGTCCCTTCTTTTGAACTCAGTGTAGCTATGTGTTTCTGTGACTGTTCTAGAGAGGGTCAAAGCCTTTATCAGGCCCTGGGTGCGTTCCAGTATTTGTTGTTCAAATGGGGCTGATCTGAGGCTGACAGCAGATTGGCACCAAAGCCCCTGAATCTGAGGAGAGAACATTAACCAAGGCACAGTGAAAGTTTCTGTCTTTGATCCCCTTTTTAGTATTCTGATGGCAAGCACCTACAACAAAGTGCAGGGCCATTTATTGCCTATTTGGCCACACAGTGTAGTCAATGTCTGTCACCATTTCCCACAGACTTCCCTCAGGGCCTGCTTGAGTTCTCTGGGCCCTCTCATCTCTCTGACAGCAGCTCTTCTTGTCAAAAATTGTAAATCAGTAACTGAAAAGAGTCTGAGATTCTATCCCATTTTCAAGCTAGCAAGTTAGCTGCTAGCCATATCCAGACAAAAGACACAAGACCTATGGGTCGGAGACAAGGACTGCTTATCACAACAAAAAGCAGCCAGAGCAGCTCTTGCCTTGGTTGCCCACACTGAAATCCCCACTGGATGTGGCAACGAAGACCAGATGTTAACAGCGTGCAGTGGCTTGCCCCACAAAGAGAAACTCTGAATTGTAGGAGACCGTGAGTTTTAATGGTGCTGCAGGTACATCTGCCCATCCTTCCCTCCAGAGATAGAGGTTGTTTATTACCCTGGAATGTAAGCAAATATCTCCTAGGAAGGGAAGGAGAGGGCCTTATCGTTATTACCCTGGAACAGTTCCAAGGAGGGAGACATCTCTTGTGAAAGTCTCCTTATCCACATATTCTGAATTTGGCTATAAATGCCTTTGTTCAGAGGACTTGAATCATGCAGGTATGTGAGAAATCCATGGAGAAGGAATTTCTGACAGTGAGATGAGGACTAAGAATTGGCCACAGGATCAGCAGTGTGAATGTCCTTGGTGACCTTGATGAGAGGGGGTCAAGGTGAGAGGAAGTTAGTGGTGGAAAAAGCCAGATAGGAGTGGGTTTAAGAGAACTCTTGCCTTTTGCTAGTGACAAAATCAGGAAGCGACCTTCCTTTTCAGGAAGACCCCATTTTCCAGAGGTCACAGAGGTCTGGGGACAAGGAAAGTGTGGGTCTATGTAGCTTTTCCCTCCAGGGACTCAAGGTCAGACTGGAACGGTGAACACCAGGCAGGGTGCCCACAGCCTTCTCTCTGCTGGTCAGCCTCCCAAGCTGAGATGGGTTCTCTGGACACTTCTGCAACTTGCCCGGGGTGGTGGCCTCTGTCACTTCCACTCCCTATGGTCTCTGTTCTTGGTGGAAGAAACCTCCTTGGGTGTACTGTGCATTGGTGGGCCCTTGTCTGCCCCAACCCACTCTGTGACAGCCACATTCCTCCTCTCCAGATGGGAAAACAGTGGAGGTGGATCCTCACCATATCTTAATTGAAGACCCTGATGGCTCATGCGCCCTCATCTTGGACAATCTTACCGGCATGGACTCGGGCCAGTACATGTGCTTTGCATCGAGTGCTGCCGGCAATGCCAGCACCTTGGGGAAGATCCTGGTGCAAGGTGAGTCCAGGGAGGCCCACCTGCGGGCCACCATGGGGGATCCTTCTCTGTCTGCAGTTGGGCTGGAATCACTTCAGCTCCATCAACAACATTTTGGTCCCTTCTAATGAGTGGAGTGGATAGGTGAGGTTGGCAGGAGGAGCCAAAGAGTGTGGATGTGAAAGTCCACAAGATGGGGGTGGTGGCTCCAGATATCTGATCATGGTGTCATGAGGACTGGCAGAGCACTCATTGCTGCTGGGGCCTACTGAGGGGTCTGGGAAGACCCACGTTGGGGGGACCCTGGCCCTCAGCCTCCCTGCTCTGGTGCTGCCCTGCACCCTATCACCATGCCTTTCTCTTGGCCTGCAGTCCCCCCACGGTTTGTAAACAAAGTCCGCGCCACCCCTTTTGTGGAGGGAGAAGATGCTCAGTTCACCTGCACCATCGAAGGAGCCCCACATCCTCAGATCAGGTGGGGGACCCAGGGCAGCATCTGGGGGCAGTGGATGGGGAGTGGGCCTGTCTAGAACGAGGAAGTGTGCTACCCTGGTGAGGTGTGTCTTTCTACTAAATGTGGGTGTCCAGGGCCACAGGCTCATTCCAAACACTTGAGGACCTGCCCTGCTCTGAGGAGGACCTCAGCCCAGTCAGGAGTCAGGGCTTCTGGAAAGGCTGTACTCCTTAGAATACCCAGGGCATGCCTAGCTCTCTCTGTGTGTGTATGTGTGAGAGAGAGAGAGAGAGAGAGAAAGAGAGAGAGAGAGAGCGAGAGTGTAGGGGCTGGGTTTCTAGGCAAGAACATAGTTGAGCACAGATCTGGAAGGGGCATGCTATTCAAGGCACAGTGAGGAGGGAGTGGGCTGACCTGGCCTCATTGGGCCCCTCCTGACTTGAGTTCCAGGTGGTACAAGGATGGGGCTCTGCTGACCCCTGGCAGCAAGTATCGGATGCTCGGTGAACCCCGCAGTGGTATGCTGGTGCTGGAGATTCGAGCCGCCAGCAAGGAGGACCTGGGCTACTACGAGTGTGAGGTAAGTATGCCAGGAGGCAGTTGGAAGGCAGGGGCTAGAGGCCACACCTGGGCCCTCCACTTGCCTCAGGGGCTGGGAATTCTAGCTCCTCATCATTAGCCCTGCCCTCCAGGCACTGAGGCTCTGATGAAGAATCTGGGGGAACACCGAGTTCATCACCTCCCTGGGCCATGAACTCTCCCTGATCCAGCCTTTGCAGTGCTGCTCCTCCTGCTAGACATGCCCCACTCTTCCCACATCAGGCTGGGTGCCCCTGTTCCCTGAGCTGTTCTGCCACAATGCCCTTTGATTTCAAGGATATTACCTATTTTTTGGTTATTTTGGACCTGGGGCTCACTTCATATAGTTGATTCATTAGTTTAGAAATGTATTTTTAGCTACTCAAAGGAGCTCTGGTGGTGTAGTGCCTAAGACATTTGACCAGAAGTTTGGCAGTTCAAACCCACCAGCTGCTCCACAGAAGGAAGATGGGGCAATCTACTTCTGTAAAGATTTACTGCTTTGAAAACCCAAAGGGGGTCACTGTGAATAAGAATCAACTCATGGCAGTGAGTTTGGTTTGGTTTTGGTTTAAAGTTACTAAACAGCATAGATATATATCTCCTTGTGAGAATTCAAGCCTTTGGAGGCTATGTCAGGAGATGCATCTGGTTCTGGCCTGGGGGCTGCAGGCAATGGCAGGGTCAAGTCCTCCCTCAGTCTGTAGTGGCCATTGGCCCACAGTTGGCCTTGGCAAATGTGTCTTGACTGTGGACTAGATGGTCTGTCTTCCTCTTCCCTGGGCTCTCCCTGGTTGCCATCCTCTACAATAGGACTACTTGTGGGTGCTTGGGGTTGAACAGGGAGCCCGCCTTCCATGGCACTGTGGGGAAGGACAAGTAGAGTAAGGTAGCCACTATCTATATATGGCTATTCCCATTGTAAATTTAAATTAATAAACCTAAATTAAGCCAAATATTTACTTCCCAGATGCACAGTTCACATGCACTTATGGGAAAGCTGTGCATTGGACAGGCAGATAGACTTCCAGCCTCATGGGAACCTATTGAAGATGTGCTGGGTCCTTGTGGGGATGCAGTAGCTGGGTCTGTCCTTTGTGGGCTAGCCCATGTCCCCATGCTTCCCTCCTGGGCTCTGAGATGCTCACTGGAAAAGCTATGCTACAAAGGGGTGACCACGCCCCCTCATTTCCTCCCCTGCCTCTGAGCCATCTCTGCCCTCTGCAGCTGGTGAACCGGCTGGGCTCAGCACGTGGTGGTGCAGAGCTATACATGCAGAGCCCTGCAGTGCGGGCCCGTGAACAGCGCCATAGGGAGCACCTCGTTGCTGTGGAAGGTAAGTGCCATGAGGGATGGCTAGAGCTGGACCCTTACACTGAGACAGGGTATGCTACCATCGGCCAGGAGGCATATGTGGGCACACGTGGGTCACCAGAGGTTGACTCAGGAGCCCAGGGGCCTGGGCAGGAGCTGAAGGGTATCCCTGGGGTCTCTAAGCTCTGCTTACCATCTCTGGGTAAATAACAGGTATGCACAAAGGGCAGAGTCTGGGCCTCCTGGGGGTGATGGCAGGAGGTGTGAGGAACAGCAGGAAGGGACACTCAAATGCAAGGGGGAATTCCTGCTGAGTGCAGAAAGTGAAGTCGTGAGGTCCTGGCATGGACTCCCTTCTGGGTGTTGAGGGCCTTGATTGTCTGCTCCATGAAGGATGAGGCTGGCTGCGAAGCTGCCTCTCTGGCCTGGCTTGGTGCCATCCTCAGGGTTCTAGGAAGAAACTGAGCTGCAAAAGAAACAAGTGTGCTCCTAGGCAGTAAGTGAAGGGGATGAAATGCCACACTTCTTCACCCATACCATGGCTCCAAGGTCCCAACTGGGCTGAGCAGGGACCAAGTGCTGGCTGCTGGGAATGGGGAGAGGGCCACAGGCGTGTTTTCTGAACTTGCTCAGCCTAGTACAGGAGACTCACCTGTAAGGGGCCCCCTGGTCAGGTGATAAGCTTCCCATCCCTGGAGGTATACAAGCAGAGGTGGGACCGACATCTAAGGAACTGCAGCCCTAAAGTAGCATGTGTTTAAATACATGTCTTCAAAATCCTGAGTTTGATCCTGCAAGGGCCTTGGGGCACCCATGATACAATTCTTCCCAGGGCCCTGCCTGCACAGACCACACTGCCTGTGTGGACTTGGCTTTGGGTCCTTTGATGCCCTCCAAGTCCCTCGCAGAGACTCTTCCCTCCCTGGGCAGGGGTTCTTGTTCCATGCCCCACTGGAAGCAGCAGACCCTGGCAAGCCTTTCCTACTTGCAAGCACCCCCATGACTGAACTGTGCCCCTCAGGGCCCCAGTGACATCCGCCGATAAACCAGCATCACACAGACATACTTCTGCCACTGGCATTTCTGCCCCCAGTGCGTCTCTCATCTCTCTCACCATTCGGGGCGGTGTTCAGCTGGGACACCTGGTGGCCCCTCTCACCTGCGACCATAAGTGCGTCTACCACGAAGTCATTTGCCTTGTTACTGTAATTTTTTTTTCCTGTAAATATTCCATGGATGTGGGACAGGGAGAGGCCTCAGAGTTGGAGAGTTGGCCAGCATGGTGGCACTGGGCTGCCTGGCCACTGAGGAGCAGGCCTTGGGGCCTACCTGGCTGGACCTGATACTGGAGCCTCAGCATGGCCAGAAGGCCCTGAAGTCAGAGCTCCTGCTTCCTAACTCCTATGCTGCCGCTTAATCTTTAACCTGCCGGTTGAGCAGCCAGAGCAGGCCCTGGCTAGCCCTTTGGGGAAGCTTCCCCTTGCTTGTGACCTGCACTCGCGGGAGCCCTGCTTTGCACGGCTGCACCCCGCCTGTGGTTGTAAATACTCACTTGGGGTTGATAGCCGGTCAGGTGGCAGCTTAGGTACATGGACAAGGGTGCCCAGAAGTATAGCAGCCTCACTCTCCTGAGCAGCCCTCAAGGACTCCCTGGCCACCTTTTTTTCATGGAGGAAGCCCTGGGTTTACCCAAGAATCCACGCCAGAGGATCTGAAGGTGGTGAACAGGCTGGCTCTCTCTAGTCTAAATATATAGAGCATTTTGTCTGGATCCTGTTTTTTCTTCCCTTCATCTTATCTCCCTCCTCCAGGAGGAGGCTTACACACATCTACACACTCCTACACACACATGTATATGCATACACATGCACACACATATGCATACATGTACACACACAGCTATGCACATCTACATGTGTACATGCACACCCATGCTCACATATGTGCACATATCCTACACATATTTACATGTATACATGTGCACCCATGCCCACACATATGCACATGTCTGCACATGTACATACATATACATGTACATTCCTGCATACACATCTACATACATGCATGCACATACATGCATCCCTACATGCACATATACACATGTGCATGCAAATGCATACATGCACACACTTACCTAGACATATACCCATGTACCCCTACACACACATGTACATACACATACATGCATATACACAAATTGTAAATGGAACTCCCAAGTTCACATGCAGACAAACAGCTAATGTATTTCATTTCTGTGACCTTCACTGGAGACAAGTTTAAAATATACTTTCTTGTCTAAAGGAAAGCCTTTCACTATGTGGCAGTATAGCAAGTCAGAATACCTCCCAGACCAGAAGCCAAGAGGCTGTGTGCCTCAGGCCGTACCACTTGACTTGTGAGCCTTCCTTTCAGTTTCCCCCTCAAGGTGGTGAGAGGGACTGCTGAGATGTGAGTTTTAGCAGCCTGTGTTCTGCTCACTGTCCAGCTGGGCAAGGCTGAGTTGGGGCATCTCTGTGCCCAAGCTTGACCCTGCCTGGAAGCCACAGAGGAAGAGGCCTTGCGGTGGCAAGGAGTAGGTACTGCGTGGTTCCAGATGAGTCACACGCCACCTCTGGCTCTGGTAGCATAGTGCCTAAGGCACTTGACTGCTAACCAGAAGGCTGGAGGTTCAAACCCACCAGTCACTCCTCGGAATGACAATCTACTTCCATAGTGGTACCGCCTTGGAAACCCAAGGAAGGATCGCTATGAGTCGGGTCTGACTCAAGAGCACATAAAAACAACAACATCTGTCAAATAGGAATGGCCATCCCTAGCTCACTGTCACTGTGTCTGGGAGCTGGGAAAATAATAAGACACTTGAGTTTGTGGGGGTAAAGGTGCTCCTGTGGGAAGGCCTAGGTTGTCCTGCTTGATCAGAACTCAGAACCTCTAGGGCTGCTCCCAGCAGGACTTCTGAAGCCTCATGCCACAGAGTTCAGATGTACCACTTCCTGGACCCCAGACTCCCCCTCCCTTGGAGAGACACCTTTTTGCCTTTAGGATGTTTTGTAACACAAATCAGCCATCCTAGCCCCAGTGTGGCCACTGGCTCACCGTGCAGTCACAGCCATTCCTTCTCCTCTCTGAACCTCAGTTTCTATGTCTGAGAAGTGGGGCCGTGAGCCTCACAAATTCACAGGATTCCCTGGGCACATAAGCCAAAGGAAAAGCTGGGATTCCTGTGTGGGCAACCAAGACAGAGCCCTCACTCTCACCTCATCCACTTCAAGATCTTCAGGAACAGTTGGTCCCACCCTCACGTGGGACATGTTTTTGTCATATCTCCTCGTTCCCCAACCACTCAGGTTAGGCATAATCACCCTCATTTCAAAGATGAGGAAGCTGGGGTTCCACGCTGAGATAGTCTTCCCAGGGGCATCTGGGCAGGCAGTACTTGGAGCCAGAACTCTAGACTCTGGATCCAGTGCTCCTAAGTTGGGCAGGCTCTCAACCACTACACTGCCGTGACACTCACATAGTTCAGACCCCGAATGCTGGCTGATCTGTAACCCTCGCTGTTCCGACTGTTTTCTTTGTAGTCACTGAGCAGGAGACTAAAGTCCCCAAGAAAACCGTCATCATGTAAGTGCAGGCGTGTTGCTAACCTTCCTTCTGACTGCAGTGCCCCTTGCATGCCCGCTAACTCACCTGGACCTTGTCTGTGTGGCCCGGCTACTTGCTTGCCTGCCTGCCTGCCCACATGGCCTTTACCCACCATGCAGACTGCCGGCACCTTGCACATCTTCCCAGTGGATCTCCCTTCCTCTGGGACCTTGGCTACCTTTACACTTCACAGCCTTCTCTTTAAAGATCTCAGTGGCTCAACCATGGCTTTTACCCAGAGTCACACAGTTAACTGGGACGGGAAGATGCTACTGTCTATGGGCTAGAGCAAAATTCTTCTCTAGGATGTAGGGAAGTGTTGCCCAACAGAACTTTGTGATGATGGAGATTTTCTATATATATACACTGTTCAGCCAAATTTGGCTATTGAACATTTGAAATGTGCTTGGTGTGACTGAAGAAGTGAATTTTAAATTTTATTTAAAATTTATTAATTTGAATTTAATTTTGCTACTGGAGTGGATAGAGTAGCTCTAGGGCTCTTAGAAGTCTCCAAGCCCAATTCTTACATTGGTAATATGGGGAAATATGAGGTAATATAAGGAGCTCTGGTGGCATAGTGCCTAAGACACTTGACTGCTAACCAGAAGGCTAGTGGTTCAAATCCACCAGCCACTCCTCAGAAGGAAAATTGGTCAATCTACTTCCATAGTAGTACTGCCTGGGAAAAACCCAAGGAGGGGTCTCATAGAGGGGTCTCTATGAGTCAGATTCAACTTGATGGCAGTGAGGTTGTTTTTGTTTTTTTTTTTCTTTTTAAATGTAATATGAGGTTCAAAGAGGAGAGGAAACTTTCTCAGGGTGATTGAGGATTGGAGGGCAGTGAAGAACCCATTTCCCCAGTGCCACCCACTGTCCTTCAGTGACTTCAAGAGAAAGTCACACATGGTGTTAATGAAATAACCCAAGAGGATCTAGGTGAACCCACAAGAGGTAGGATGAGTTTTTACCTGGGAACTGTGGTAGGACCTCTAAGAGGTATATGCAGGTGGAGGTGTTTGAAAGAACTTGTAAAGTGAGGAAGCAGGAAAGGCTATGGTTTCCAAGGCCACATGACTAGGCCATTCCAGGATAGGGAGCCTCTTAGATTCTCTCAGGCCTATAACCCCCCAAAGGGGCCTGAAGTTTGCCATGTTGCTGGAGAATCCTGTCTTCAGCCAATTTGAGAAGATCCTAGGTTAAGCCTTCTTTGGACTTCTCCCCTTTTCCTCTCAAAGTAGGTCAATCTTATGATGTCACAATGCAAAAGATAGTGCTACCTGGGGTGGTAGTGAGCACCCATCCCTGAAAATATGTACCTGTGCCAGATTTAACCTATGAGAAAGGCATTATTATTATTTTAGGGATGTGAAATAGAGGATCGGAGATGAGGCTAGGCAGGCCCATCAGGTAGACTTCAGGGGAGACTTGTGCTCAGTGGGGAGCTGGATGAGGCAACTCATGAGGCACCCTGAATGCAGTCTTCTCTTGCTTTAGGGAGGGGACATCCCTCATCTACAAAAAAGAATGGATCCCCCCTCAGCCTGAGGAATGAACAAGGGTGATGGCTCATGCACAGCCTTCCCCAAGGGTGGACCACACAGGGAAGGGTACTGGGAAACCAAGAGGTACCAGAAGGGAAGAGAACTTGCAGAGAGACCTCTCCCACATAACCACTCCCCATGCTGTGCCAGTGCCCTGGGTGCTGTGGTGTGAGGCAGGAAGGCAGGCCCAAGGCTCTGATGGTCCATGTCTCTGAGCCTCAGCTTCCCCATCAGTTAAGGGGATATAACATTTCACCTTACTAGTGAGGGCTGAAAGAGGCAGGATCTATAATTGTCGTGTACCCGAAGGTGGCCATATGACTCTGCGCCCAGTCTTGGGAGTAATTACTCATGGCTATACCCCTAAATTAGACAAAAGCAAAACAGAAGAAGAAAGAGAGAGCCAATGCTTCAGTCACTACATGCATGCCAGACTCCTCTGCCTGAGCCCAAGGGGAAGTGCAGGGCCCAGGGCCCGGGAGAGTAGGGACCCTATGGTGCTCAACAGTGATGACTGGGCACTAAGCAGCAAAGGAAGGCCTGGGATAGTTCTGTCAGGTGTCTGACTCTGTGTCCCCAGGCAAGTTCCTGAACCTTCAGCCTCCTGGTCCACATTGGTACAAGGGAGCCAAACCTTCCTCCCAGGGCTGCTGTGAGGTCAGACAAGAGAGCTTGTAAAGCCCCTGACAAGCATCCGGCATGTATTGGTTTCCTTTCCATCTCCCTCTGCCTCTCCCACTGTATAAGAAACAGGGCCAGGAAGAGAAGGGGCTAGTTTGAGGTTACATAGCCCATGGTAGCTGAACCATATGCAGAGTAGGTGTCCAGCTCAGGGCTCCCCTTGAGGTCTTCCAGGTCTTCTGGGTCCTCTCTATCCCTGACACCCTAGACTCAGAGACATGGAGCATGGGCCACAGGTCCTTCAGGCCTAACTTAGCCCTCATTATGCTCCCTGGTCACTAGCTATCCAGCCTCCTTTGTGATCAAGGATTGCTGGGGTGCACAGGTACTGCCCTCTGTGAGCACAATGCCCACTGAGTGGGACAGGATGAGGAGGGTCCCGTGGTTGTGTTTGTGTACTCCCAGGCTCTTTCTTTAGTTTCTCCCCCCTTCAGTCTCTAGCCTGGCCTCGGCCACTCTCCACCAGCTCTGCAAAAGGTGACAGCTGAGAACATATGGGGGAAACTGGTTGGGTCTGGAGTTTGGAGACACCTGTGTATAGAGCATGGGCTTCACCAGGGCTCATGAGACTTGCACACCAGAGCCTGAGGTTGACCCAACAAGACTTTTTGCTTTGCTTCTTTAGCTCTTTGGCTAGAGTTCTGCAGGTTGGGCCCAAGTGCATGTGTAGGAGTTTATTTGTGTAATCTTACCTCTCATTGATATAGTCATGTACTAACCTAGCCTGCCATGCCAGCCCTGCATGTGTTGATGGCTCAGGGATTGGGTAAGGCTGCCATGTCTCTGTGCCAATGCCTCTCGGACCCTCTCCCCCCAGAGAGGAGACCATCACCACCGTGGTGAAGAGCCCCCGTGGCCGGCGACGGTCCCCCAGCAAGTCTCCTTCTCGATCACCTTCCCGCCGCTCTGCCAGCCCACCAAGGCTGGTCATGTTGACCCCTGAGCTGCGGTACCCACCAGGGGCTGGCCAGCCCCCCAGACCTGAGGTGGAAGCAGGTCGGAAGCATACTGTCCCAACACTGTATGTGACAGAGGTTGAGGCCCCCTCTCCAGCCCCGTCTGGGGGTCCTGAGCCCCAGCCCAAGTGGGTGGAGGTCGAGGAGACCATAGAGGTTCGTGTGAAGAAGACAGGCACCAGGGGCACATCTCCAGCCAGAGAGACAGCAGCCAGCTCGGCAGGGCTGGTCTTCACACTGCCCACCCTGGCATCCGGAGGGGACCCCAACACCAACAACTCCAACAACAAGCTGCTGGCCCAGGAGTCGCAGGCTCAGGGCACAGCTGGGGGGCTGTGGCCAAGGCCAGAGTCCCCACCTGTGGTCTGTGTAGGTGAGCCCTTTGTTTTCTGTGTGGACACTGGAGGTAATGTGAACTGGACTGTTCCTGGCACAGGCAGCCCCAAGCTGGAGACTGAAGCCCCCTATGAGCTACCCCCTCCTTGGACTGCTGAAGAGAGGCCAGAGGTCCCACTCGAGGGTGAGAGCGCAGGGGAGGAGGGAGAAGCAGGAGACATTTGTGTGGTTGAGGAGCCCCAGGACACTTCAGGCTTCTGGGGACGGGATCCCAAGATTCTCACACACCGTGGTCACCCACTGACCTTGGCTGACCTTGAAGACTATGTGCCCCATGAAGGGGAGACATTTGGCTGTGGTGGCTCTGTACCCACCACCTCTAGCGACAGCCCACCCTGTGAGGTTTCTGTGCTCCAGACTGAGATCAGCGAGCCCACTGTGGGACAGCCCATTCTGCTGCCTGTGGGCCATCCACCTGGTTCCCGTGGCCCACCTAGCTTCTTCAGCCATGCCCCTCAACCTCGTGCCTGTGAGCTGCCTCTGTTGGAGGCCCAGGCCCAGGACCTGGCTGGAGTCTCCTTCTCCATGCAGGAGGCCTGGCCAGGGAACACATCCTTCTGCACCCAGGTCCAGCACACTGTAGACAGTGGCCAGAGCAGCTTCAAAACAGAAGTTTCTACCCAGAGAGTCAGCTTTGGGACAGTGGGTGAGACAGTCACCCTGCACATCTGCCCAGAGGGAGGTGAGGCCTCTACTCCCTCCCAGAGCTGAAGTTATGGACATCGGGGGCTCTGGCAGCTGGGGTTTGGAACAAGGGATGCGGCTCTGTAGGAATCGAAGAACTGGACATCCAGGATCTGCTGTCTGAGCCAGCCTCATCCTCACAGGCAGCCACAGTGCACGTTCCCATCCCCTTGCTGCATCATTCCGCAGGACAACAGGGAGAGGGGTTGGCCTGGCATCCTCAGACCCTGCCCTGCACCAGCACCAGGCCCTGAGAGCTCCCAGACTCACCTTAGATGCTGGACTCAGGAGAGGCTAGGAAACCAGGACCCTCCTCTTCTCTTCAACAATGACGATGAGACTTGAGCTACCCTGGCCCTTTCTACCTCACAGGCCTTGACTTTCACCTGAACTGATGTGCAAGGGTCTGCAAACTCTGAATGTGCAGGAGAGTAGCCCCTTGAGAGGCCTACAAGCCAGCAGGAGAAGGCTGGGCCCACATGACTTGCTCTCCTGGGGCCTTGCTCTGGAGGGTCCTACCCCTCCCCTAGTCTGTAAGGAGCCCCATAAGCCAGACTGGAGGGCTTAGTCTTCCTCCAGGAGCCAAGTCTTATGGATGAATATTTTTCTCAGCCTCCAGGGCCTGAGTGGCACTCTCTCTGCAGGGGTGGGCATGTGGGTCTGTGTAGCGGGAGAGGACTGGGTAAGAAGCAGCTGCCTATTGACTTTGAATAAACTGGTTACTTCTACTTCCTTTGCTCTGTTCCTTCTAACTTCTCAGCCCAGCTGTCCCTGTCCCAGCTGTTCCAGTGACTTGAGCAGGTGGGGGACTTCTGGCCCCTGTTTCTGCATCATGGGGCTGGGTCCCAGTAGCACTGGCTGTGGGACTAGAGGGCTTGCCTCAGGTATCTCACCTGCCCTTTGTCAGCACCTGTCAGGCTGATGAGACTCTCAGCCTCACCTTACACCTGGCAGTTCTTCCCTTGTCCCATTGTGATCCTCAAGGCTCTAAAAGGTCAGGTCACACACTGGGAAAGAGGCAGACATCCTGGCTTGTGCCCAGGAGTGCATTAAGATTCTAGTCCAACTTGTACACTGTAGCTCACTGACCATGACTTATCACAGGGCCACATGGGGTAACTACCACAGCTCAGTCCTCATAATGGTCATTCACAGACTGCCACCAGACGTTTTCAACCATTCTGCACAGCAGGCCACTTTCAAGACAGGGTTGTCTGTGAAGCGAGACCCTCTCTCATTACTTCTTGCCCTATCATCACCAGACATGGAAACCCCCCAGAGCCCAAATCAGTGAGTTGGTGAGGAGACAACTGAGGCCCTTCCCAGAATAAAGGATTAGTGTAACATGGAAGGCACCCAGGGGTCAAGTGCTCCACAGGGCCACCTCCCAGATGAAAGACACATGAGAATGAAGGGTGGAGCATTGTGGGTGGGAGAGGGCTACAGGCAGATCTGAAAGAGCCCAGATCCTGCTTGGAACTGGGTGTATAGTGTGAGGCAGGATATGGCTGGAGGCAGGCCCTGGCCAGTGAGGGGAAGAAGTAGACTCCACTCATACGCCAGGAGCAGTATGTGAGGCTAGGAGGTTGAGTGAAGGATGCAGGTGGCGGGAAGATTGTATATAGAGAAGAAAATGGGTGTCGGGGCAGGGCAAGGGCTGCCCCTGTGAGAAGGACATGGCGTTATGTCTCAGGAAAGGCCATAGCAGCCACTATGCCACCCCATAGCCCCTGGCCCTTAATTCTGCATCATGGAATTGGGTCCCACTGTGTCCCCCTGGGCTGTGCAGCTCAGCACCTGGATCTGGAGTCAGTCTCTGGAGTTACTTGTGGTGGCGCAGAATGAGGGGTGGACTGTTGTCCAAAGCCTGGCTGCTCACTGGAGGAGCAGATGTCTCCCCCTGGAACCTGGGCACCATCTTGGACCATGATGTCTTAAGGGATGCCATGTGCTACACTTACAGGGGACTGAGGTTGCAGCTGGGCACACAGTGTGGCAGTCACCTCTGCCCAGGCTGTCAGTCAGAGAAGACAGCTGCCCAGAGTGGCATCTATCCCTAGGACTTATCTCCCAGGCCCTTCTTTCTCTCTCAAAGACCTCTGTTCCAGGCAGTCCCCCTGAGGCCATAAAAGAGTAAGTGGGACTTGAGGAGTGGATGGGCAGGACCCAGGCAGTCTCAAGGACTGTGAACACACCCGGATGGGTCTCTGGGTTAGTCTGTCCCACCACTCACTTCCTCCGTGCTAACCAGGCCTCTTCTGCAGATGCTGCTGGCCCAACCCCAGCTGGCCTGGAGGACTCTGTCCGAGCATCCCTGGAGCGAGCTGACCAGGAGATCCAGTTGGCCCTGCGGAAACTAGGAGTCCCTGAGGCACCAGGCTCCTCTGCAGGGGGCCATGGTCCTGGCAGCCCCCTGCTCACAGGCCCCACACCTAAGGGGGAGCCCACACTACAGAAGGCCAGCCTCTCACCCCCAGGCTCAGGAGCCATGGATGCATCTGGTGAGGCCCTGCTCTGCCTGCATCCTGCTTCCCGGTCCCTGCTGCCTCCTCTGTGCTGCCGCTGACATGGCACACTCACCATAGGGGCCATCCTATGGGCATGAAGTACACAACCCTCAGGATTCCCAATATGGAATCCTAGCAGCACCAGGCGCTAAGGGCTCTGGGCAGCCCACCCCTTGCTTGGTCTTAGTTTCCTCTTCTGTAAAACGAGGCATCAGGGTATATTTTTGAGGTTCTTCCATCTGGAACATCTGTCCCAGGGAGCCAGATCCTCCCATGGTCAGAGGAACCTTAGTGAGTATGTAAGGAGAGGGGTGGGCAGACTACTCAGCTAGGGATTATGCTATGTTTCCCCACTGTCTCCTGGCTCTAAGGGTCTCAGACAACCCTTTGCATATGGGGGCTCTCCTGTTATGGAGCATTTTAGGAAATTTTTCCCAAGCTGACAATGGTGCATATAAGGAAACTGAGGCCCCAAATGTAAAGAGCCCTGCTAGAGACCCCTCTGCCTGATGGTGGGATTGGAGCCAGGTGACAACCTTGCTTCCAGGTAGGAGCTGTGGGGATTATGAGAGTCAGAGCAGCCCCACCTGGTGGTCAGCATCAGGACTAGGTGATACCAGAGCTGCCTGGGGCTGTTGTAAGGCCAGAGTATTGGTCAGAATCAGGCCCAGCCCTGACCTTCAGATCCCTTCTATCTCCTCCTCTCCCCTCCTCCATTCCCCACTCCCTCCCTGTCTGTCTGTCTGTCAGTCTGTTTCCCACCTCTGGATGTTGTCCCTTACATGTTCTGTCTAGTCCTTGCCCTTCTACTTACTCAGCCTCTGTCATCTTTTCCTAAATGCTAACACCCTAACAGAGCTGTCTGCCTCTTCCTCTATATCTGGTAACTCCCTTAAAGCATCCCCAAATGCAACCTGTGCTCACACTCTATGAGGCCACATTGCCTTTTTGGTGAGGTCCCTACAGGGAGTCCCACTTTGTCTGAGAAACTATCTCCATGAGGAGATAGGCAGGTATGGCCATGCCCTGCAGTGGGAGGAGGGTTGGGCTGAGGGCAGGTCGGGTGCTGAGACTGGGTCAGACCTCAAGGGTGTGATGTCTCCTCCCCAAAGGACAGAAGGGCTTCCCCCATGACTTCTAAGCTCATCTGTCCTGAGCCCAAGCTGGACCTCTATGCTCCATGCTGCCTCCTCAGTCCTCCAGGGCCTAGGGCCAGGGATGTCCCCTAGCAGTGTTGTAGTGGGATAGACAGGGCAACCACATCGCAGCTCCCTGGCCCACCTGTTTACAGACTGCCTGCCTCAGGCCCAGTTCTGCAGGCTTCCCCTTGCAAGACATGTCTATCACAGCACTCGTTTTGGTGGGATGGGCCCAACACAGAGCCTGACCAAAGAGAGGGGCTGTCTTAGGCAAGACTTCAGCTTCCTTTTAGTTTTCTTGTTTGTGACTACCACATGTACTAACGCAGGTGTGTGTCAGAGGCAGCAGGTTGTGGGAGGAGCAGACATCTTGGGCAAGGGTGGTCAGGAGACAGAACTGTATGCACAGGCACCATCCCTGGCACCTCACCTCCATCCCCTCCCTTCACAGTGGGGCTTTTGGGATTTTGGATGGAGGTCTTCTCTCGCCTTCACTGATGCACGTAGGCTTAGCTGCCCCACTCCATGACCCTAGCCTTGCTCAAGGTCTGGGGACACTGCAGCACAGACATGGCAGAGACTACATGTTGTTCAGACTGTTCTGGTAGCTTAAGGTTGCTGTTACCAGCCTCAATTGATGCTGTACCCCCTGTGGGTTCCCCCTACAACCTAAGAGGTCCCCTGTCCTTTCCCACCTCAGCATTACTTCACATCCACACTCAAGCCCTGCGAGGGTTTCCCACCAGCTCCAATACCTCTGGGCCTACCCTATTCGATAGGCTTGTGATCAGCTCTGTCCTCGTTTGTGCAGCCTGTTGCATGCTTCTGTGATGCACCTCTTTCTTGAGCTGTGTGTGCCAGGGTGCAGGGTGGGTGGCCTGCCTGGTCCTGAAAGCAGAGCAGGCCCAGCTAGCAGAAGCCAGGTGAGGCTCCTTGGCAGGTACCCTGAGCTGCGGGCTCTGAGTATCTGTGGTAGACACCCAGCCTTGTCCTATGCAAGTCACTTATTTATTCATTCATCAAAGACCTAGGAGCTCTTGGTGCTGAACACAGTAGCACCTCATCTGTGTGGCCTGGGTCTTGGCAGCCCACCCTCCTGCGGCAGAGGGCTGAGGGAACACACACAGTCACTGTATGTTTGGAGGGTAGGGGCTGCTATAGGCCTGTTCTTGAGCAGTTGGGGCCTGTAGCAGGGACATCAGGGTTTGGCCCCAGGCTAAGTCAGGGACCCTCCTCATCCTTGCCCTAGAACCTGGTGCCCCTGGAGCATGCCATGTGCCTCTGTCCCTACCTCTACCCTAGCCTGAGGTGGTACGTGCCCACCCTCTCTGGCCCATACCTTCCAGTCCCACTAAGGTTGTGCCTCACTTGGTGCCTTGTTCCCACCAGCCAAGGTGCACAGTGAGCCCCAGACAGTGGCACAGCCCCTCCCTGGTGTAGGCCTGGAAAAGGAGATGGCAGCAGGTGCTGAGGCCCAGGAACGGACTATCCCCATTAGGTAACTACCCTTACTGTGTGGATGGGTCACATGGTGGGTAGCAAATAGTGTGGCCTCCTGTCTCTAAAGGGACATGCTATGGGAAAGGCAGACCCACCCACCCTACCTACAGGGCCCTGGGCCTGAGGGGTATACAGCATGCTGCTTGCTGGCCCCCACTCTGAGCCTGAAGGCAGGGCAGGGAGGAGAGGCTGCCCTCTTGGGTGAGTGGGCTGCTTGGAGAGCCCACTCCTCACCAGGGTGGGCAGAGGGCTCACAGACACTACCCTTGTGACCACAGGATAGAAGGTGTGGCCTGGCCTGGGGCAGGGGCAGCAGAGCCACTCTGGGACGCCCACAGCCACGTGTTCATGGAGACCACCCACAGGACCTATGTGTACCAGGCCAGCGACACTGGTGTCACAAGTATGGGGGATGGGCCCAGTGGGGTGGCATCTATGCTTGAGCCCATGCTATGGGATCTTTGCACGGAGGGGCTGAACAACCTTCCAGTGTTTCCCAGCGTGGGGCTTCCCCATTGTAGACTGGGGTTTGTGGGGGCCCTCTGTACCTGGCCCATCACTGGGTAGCCAGAGCCTTCTGCTGTGACCAGGAGGCTACAAACAACTTGACTGTCAATGGGGCCATTTTCCTGACAGCCCAAAGTTAGCATATCCTGTGTACATTGACCTCACTAGTCTCCTGATCTTGGACTAGTTTACACCAAAGCAGGAGAGAGTCAGTGGTTAGATGGAAGGAAGGACTTTCTGATTGTCAGAGGTCTCAGCAGAGTCAGAAAGAGGTAATTCTGCACTTGGGAAGTAAATGGGCCTCTGTTGAGTAGGGTGTATCTCAGGGCTGAACTGACCCCTGCGGGCACTAGGACACCTGACATGGTAATTACAGCACACAGTAGGTGCTCAGTGAGTCCACACACTGGGTGGGCTGTGTTGGGATCCTAGAGCCCTGGACTCACAGGCTTCCTCCCGGTCCAGGGCCTCCATCCATGCAGGTCACCATTGAGGACGTGCAGGCACCAAGAGGTGGCATGGCTCAGTTTCAGGCCATAATTGAAGGCACCCCCCAGCCCACAGTGACCTGGTACAAGGTAGGGAAGGGATTCCTGGGTTCTGGGGGTGGTCTCTCAACCCTTCATCCAGCATTTCTCTCTCTGGGCTCTCTCTGCATCAGACAGTAGAGGAACTCTCAATGCCATGCAGCAAGCATTGGGAGCTCTACTTGAGTGAGGAAGGGTGAGAGTGGGGGCCGGGGCTCAGGGTCCCTGGGGTGGGCTGCTGGCCACCCTGACTCCTGAGCCTCCAGGACAACACCCTGCTGGAGGACAGTGCCCGGCTTAGCCAGCAGCAAGATGGGACCACATATTCTCTGGTGCTGCGGGATGTGGCCCAGCACGATGCTGGCATCTACACCTGTCTGGCTCGCAATGCCAGTGGCGAGGTGCTGTGCAAGGCAGAGCTGCTGGTTCTTGGTGGTGAGTCAGACCAACCCCACCATGTATACTGTCTGGGAAGGGTATGCATGTGAGGGTGAGTAGGACCAGCCCGACAATTCCGCAGAGTTGGGAGGCAGAGACCAGGCCTTCATGTCTGCCCGCACAGACAATCCCCTTGCCTTGTCTGTAGGAGAAAGTGAGCCAGAATCAGAGAGGCAAAGTGGCCGGAGGAAACTGCACTCTTTCTATGAGGTCCATGAGGAGATAGGCAGGTATGGCCATGCCCTGCGGTGGGAGGAGGGTTGGGCTGAGCGCCAACACAGGCATCCACCTTGAGCTCCCTCTGCTTAGGGGCGTTTTTGGCTTTGTGAAGAGAGTGCAGCACAAGGGGAACAAGATGAGTTGCGCTGCCAAGTTCATCCCCCTGCGAAGTAAGACGCGGGCTCTGGCATACCGGGAGCGGGACCTTCTTGCCATGTTGAACCACCCACTCATCACCAAGCTGCTGGACCAGTTTGAGACCCGGAAGACCTTGATCCTTGTCATGGAGCTGTATCCTGCCCTTGAGCCCTGGAGGGTGGGGAAGGCACATGTCAGCACAGGCAGGGTGCCACAAGGTTAAATGAGGTTCAGCCACTGTTCTGCAGGAGTTATGTGTGCTTCTGGCCTCTCTGGTTCCAGCCTGGGTGTGCAGCAGGAAGCCCGTTGTCCCTGAATCCTACCCCCATCACCCCCCAACCTTAGACCTCATGAGTCTGTGGGCCACAACTTGGGTGGGGCTCTACAGGGTGGTTTTTCTCCTCCACATGGAGTCCACTGGGGCTACTTATTGGTGTTCAGCTGGTAGCTAGGCTGGTCAGGAGGGTCCAAGATGACTTCAGTCCCTGTCTTGGTGAGGACAGCTAGCAGGCTGGGCTAGCCAGACCTGTCTCCCTCTCTGTGTTGCCTCTCTAGTACTTCCTACAAGACATTCCTACTCCAAGGGCTTGGGTTCTAGAGTTAGGAGTGGACACTGTCAGACTCATAGGGCCTGACAGCTTGTGCTTTGTGCCTAACTTCCTCCATATTTCTTATCCAGGTTCAAGGAAGGGTACATACACTCTCATCCTTAACCCACCACCCTGGGTTGGGCCCCATCCACATACAACCACAGCAGTGCCAACATTGCTAAGGCTCTGTCTGAAGTTCTCTGAGCATCATGTGAGCTCACCAGCCTGTCAGCTGCCAGCCCCTACCTGGTCCTTCACAGAGCATCCTCTACCCAAGAGGTGGTACCGAGCTGGGTTCCACTTCCTTAGTGTCCCTAAGTAGTCCTAGTCCCCAGCTTGGCCTGTAGCCCTTCCCTTAAGGCTAGCTGCTCTCTGGGGTCCTGTGGAGTTCTTCCTACTCTCCTTGTTCCCTGAGCTCTATCCTCCCCAGCAAAGCCCCTGCTGACCCCCTCAGACCATGAGGTCTGCAGTCTGTACCACAAGATAAGCCTACTTGTGGTCCTGTTGCCTTGCTGGGAATCTGGTGTCTAGGGGCAGGCTCTGGGCCCAAAACTCTCCTTGACTGGGGCTCAGGTGTTCATCAGAAGAGCTGCTGGATCGCCTTTTCAAGAAGAGTGTGGTGACAGAAGCTGAGGTGACCCTCCCACTTGCTCTGATCACCTGTCACTACAAACATAACACTACCTCAGCCTTAGACCTGTGGCCCCCAGTCCACACCTGAGGCAAAGCATTCCCCAACTCAAAGGCATTCTGTTGCTCCCCAGGGCCTGAAGGGCTGTTGCAGTTCCTCAGCCAGGCTGTCAAAACTTTCCTACTCCCAGGCTGCACCTCTTCCCGCTTCTAGACCACATCTGAGCCAGGCTTTTTACCTTCCTATGACCCTGACTTTGCTCAGGCTGTTCTTATCCTGAGAGCACATGCAAACCCTCCCCATGTCCCAGGACCCAAGTTGCACTTGGGCCCCACTTGAGCCTGAGCACACAAAATCTATGGTGGCATCACACCTATGGGACTTGTCCTAGGCTTTGAGGTCTGGAGGGGAGAAGTGAGGGGGCTGTTTAATGTTGGAGAAGCCACAGAGAGAAGTGCTGGAAGTGAAGTGGGAGGACGGGAGGCTGAGACCAGCTCTCACCTGAGCACGATGCTTCCCCACAGGTGAAGATCTACATCCAGCAGCTGGTGGAGGGGCTGCAGTACCTGCACGCCAGTGGCATCCTCCACCTGGACATAAAGGTGCTTGGTCCCTGACAAGTCTTAGGTGCCCCTTCCAGTCTCCCTGACAAGCTTGCTAACCTCTGGGGGTGGGAGGTCACTGCCTTTTCCCAGCCCTGCAGGTTGAGTGTGGCTCTGACCAAGAGAAGCTCTCCCCAAACTGTATAAAACCAGCCCCTGGGCTCCTGCCATCCCCACAGGCCTCGCAGTCACTGGGTAAAGGCTTCTCAGGCCTCAAGTGCCCTCTTGCTGGCCTGGCCCCCTACTTACTCCCCCAACTCTACTGACAGCCTGCCAACATCCTGATGGTACACCCTGCTCGAGAGGACATCAAAATCTGCGACTTTGGCTTTGCTCAAAAAGTCACCCCATCAGAGCCACAGTACAGCAAGTACGGCTCCCCAGAGTTTGTGCCACCCGAGGTCATTGAGCAGACTCCTGTGAGCGAGGGTTCTGATATCTGGTGAGTAGGGCCCAGGCTGGATAAGCTTTCCATCCCTGAGGATCCAAAGCTCCCATCATCATCATCCTCACCCCACTCTTCTGTGCCAGAGCTGGAACACCTAAATTCTCCTTTCTGAACCCACCCACGGCTCCCACTCTTCCTGCACACTACCTCAGCCCCTGTTGTTTGCAGGCCAGGCCTGGGTGACTCATTTTGTGGTTTTCTTTCACACAGGGCCATGGGAGTCATCTCCTACCTCAGGTAAGCATCCTTGGTGTCATCCCAAAAGCTGAACCCAGACCTGTCCCTACCAGGCCCACTGGAGCCTTGCCCATGCAATCTAGCTTCCCAAATTAGAGACCCTGAGACCTTGAGCTGGCTGCTATCTTGGGAACAGACAGTCATACCAACCCTGATAAGAAGTTCCTGCTGAAATTTTCTCACAGTACCCTGTCATCAGAAGCAGCTCTGCCAGGTCACAGGGCAGAAAACCATGATGTGCTTTCCCAAAGGGGTTCTAGGGTGACTTGTCCAGAAGTCACTCATAACAGTTACTGCTGCCCTGAGCCCCTCTGCTAGTATAGACTGAGGTCTGGATCTCCACTGCAGGCTGAGTCCTGATCCTCATCTTCACCCCCCAGTGAGCCCTAATCCTCACCCCAGGCTAAGCCTTGATCCTTCTTTTAAGCTGAATCTGAACCTCTCTGGGCAAATGCGAGACACTTGCTGGCATTCTTGGGGGTTGGATGAGAGTAATGCTAAGAGCTCCTCCCCAGTCAGAGTTGAGGCCCCTGGCCTCCAACAACTCTGCCTGAGAGACTCAGCACTCACTGGCCAAGCGATCTTTCCCCCATGGACCCAGGAATCCAGATCATGTGTGAGGGACAGAACCCCTCTCTGCCTTTTAGCCTGACCTGTTCATCACCATTTGCGGGTGAGAGTGACCGTGCGACTCTGCTGAATGTTCAGGAGGGACGGGTGTCATGGAGCAGCCCTGTGGCTGCCCACCTCAGTGAGGATGCCAAGGACTTTATCAAAGCCACCCTGCAGAGGGCTCCACAGTAAGTGTCCTGTCCTCCCACTGCCCGGGCATCCTGCTTGGTCCTACCCTGAGACCAGCTGACCCCACCCTGGTCTGACCCCCATGCCTGTCTCTCACCCTAGGGCCCGGCCCAGTGCTTCCCAGTGCCTCGCCCACCCTTGGTTCCAGGTGAGTAGACTGAGCTTGCCAGGCCTGGCAGACAGGCTTGCTCAGCCCTTCATTGTTCAAAGAAGGAAACAGATCATGAGAGGCTGAGGCCCTGCCTGGGGTACATTAGCCACAGAATTTTGACTGGTGCCCAGAGGACTTACCTCCACCAGATTGGTGTAGGAGCTGCTGGGACATTCAGACTGGGGCAGAGGGCTTTAGTGCCCCCACACACCCCACACCCAGCATGACTGGATCAGGGAGGCAGGCTCAAGGTTCTCCATGGATCCTCCTTTGGGACTATTTTGGAAGCCCTAGTCAGGGAAGGGGCATGGAACTGCCTAACAGCTGGCCTCTGACTAACCCTATCCACCTATATGTGACTCTAAGGCTAGGGCTTGGTTTGATCAGCCGCCCTGCCCCAGCTGGTCTTCCATCCCTGGAGGGGCCCTGACCAGGGTTTTTGGGCTCAGTGCCCACAGCTAGGTACCAGGTCCCTCTAGATACCAGCCCTTCCCTTCCTTGCCTATAGAAGTCCTTGCCTGCAGAAGAAGCCCACTTCATCAACACCAAGCAGCTCAAGTTTCTACTGGCTCGGAGCCGCTGGCAGGTGGGTAGTGCCTGCTGCCATGCTGAGGAGGGGCTTTAAGGTGCTGTGAGGCTACTAGGGGAGAGCCAGACTCAAGGCTACCTGTGGTCCAGCAAGATCCCTTGAGGCTGCTTCCAGGCTGCTGAGCTGGGGATATATGCCAAGTGCTGGGACTAGAGCATGTAGCTGGGTATCTTTCCTCCAGGTCTTGCAGCACAGGGCATAGGACAGGCCCAGAGCACTCAGGGAGGAGGAAGGATGGTGGTGGGTGGCACGTGCACACATCACAGCCACAGAGGGGCAGAAAAACAGAGGCCAGGTGGAAAGGACAGGAGGGGCATGGGAAGGGTGCCTGGCATTCCCCACTCTGCCCCTGGCCCAAGTGGAGCCTTGAACACTGACATCCCTTCTGCTGCTCCTCAGCGTTCCCTAATGTGCTACAAGTCCATCCTGGTGATGCGTTCCATCCCCGAGCTACTCCAGGGCCCTCCCGACAGCCCATCCCTTGGAGTCTCCAGGCACCTGCTCCGAGATGCCAGTGGCTCTTCCAGCAGCTCTTCTTCAGACAACGAGATTGCCCCATATGCCCGGGCCAAGTCTCTGCCACCCTCCCCAGTGACCCACTCCCCACTCCTGCACCCCAGGGGCTTCCTGCGGCCTTCAGCCAGCCTGCCTGAGGAAGCTGAGGTCTGTGTGGCCCCCGCAGCCCCCTCTGCTCCTACAGTGTCACCTGTGTCCCCAGAGGGCCAAGAAGTGGCCGCCGGGGCCCAAGGTGCAGTGCCAATGGCTGGCCCAGGCTCTGTGCCTCGCCACAGCGTCATCCGAAGCCTGTTCTACCAGCAGGCGGGGGAAGGCTCCGAGCGTGTGTGCCCGCCCTCAGCCCTGGGCAGCAGGAAGCACCTAGCAAGGGCCCGGCGGCACCTGCTGAAGGGCGGCTACATTGCAAGGGCGCTGCCTGGCCTGCGTGAGCCCTTGCTGGAGCACCGTGCACTAGAAGAGGAAGCTGCCAGGGAGGAGCAGGCTGCCCTTTTGACCAAAGCACCCTCTTTTGAGACAGCCCTGAGGCTGCCTGGCTCTATGGCCCGTATGGCCCCTGGCCGCAGCCACTCCCTGGACCAGGACCGGCCCCGTACCACCAGCCCCTTCCCTGAGGAGCCAGAGAAGTCACCTGAGGCCTGTTCTGAGGGGCAGTGTGCCCACCCAGCATCTTGGGGACTTGGGGCAGTCTCAGAGGACAGCTCTGTGCCAGGGCCAAGCCCTTCTTTGTTCAGGGAGCCCACACCACTGGCCCAGGATGCCACACCCCCTGCCCAGGCAGCACCAGGCATGGCCTCAGGTTCTGAAGAGGGGTCTCTGCATGGATCAAAACCACTTCCATCCATGGATGGTGACACAGGTCCAAGCATCTCCCAGGACAGCTTTCAGAAGCAGGCCATCCCTTCTTTTCACCTTGACTGGGGTTCTGCCCTCCAGGAGGGTTGTGGACCCCCTGTGGCTGCTGCACCACAACTTACAGGCTCCTGCCCTCCAGGATCTCATGCACAGGGCTTACTGGTATCTGGAAGCCCCTTCCTCTCAGGAAAGCCCCAGGTCTTCCCTTCCCCAGCCCAAGCAAGCCCCTTTTCAGGCTCTAAGGAGAAGCCAGAGCCCAGCCCCCCTTTTTCTATAGGGCAGGCTTTACAGGAGGACCTGTCCCCCCAGGAGGCTGTGACACCCTCCCCAGTGGACACAGAGCCTGCAGCCTCCTTAGATGCAGAGGACTTGTCCCAGGAGACTGCTCAGCATCGGCCTCAGGAGCAGGCAACTACTCGAAAGTTCTCCCTGGGGTACCGTGGAGGCTATGCAGGAGTGGCAGGCTATGGAACTTTTGCCTTTGGTGGAGATGCAGGAGGCATGCTGGGGCAGGGCCCCCTGTGGGCCAGGATGGCCTGGGCCCAGTCTCAGTCCTCAGAGGAGCAGGAAGAAGTGGTAGTTGAGAGCCCACTGCCCCAGGCTAGTACAGCCCCTGTGCCTGAGGGGACCTGGCCTTCCCACAGGAGCTCTCTAGAGTTTACCTCATGGGAAGACTTCGGCCAGGGCTCTCAGGTCTCCCTGGTACAGATCAAGGACCTCTCAGGCGATGCAGAGGCAGCTGACACTCTGTCCTTGGACATCTCTGAGGTGGAGCCAGCTTACCTCAATCTCTCTGACCTATATGACATCAAGTACCTCCCATTTGAGTTCATGATCTTCAGGAAGGTCCCCAAGCCACCTGTGGAGAAGGAGCCACCCTCCACTCCAGTAGAGGCCCATGAGGGGCTGGCTGAGCTCCCAGAGGCAGCATGGCCCTGGATGAGCGAGCTGGGCCCCACTGCCAGCTTGGCTCCCCGCCCTCAAGTTGGCCTACAGATCACCGAGGAGGAGCCAGAGGACATGGAGGCCCTGCTAGGGGAGGCCGCCCTGAGCCGGAAACGGAAGGCATCACCCTCCTCACGAGGCCTCTTCCAGCTCTCTGGGGGGTGCCTGCCACTGGAGGAGCCCATGGAGCTCAGCCTACGCAAGAGGGTGAAAGCCTCAGTGGCCCACATCTCCCGGATCCTGACTGGCAGGGTAGAAGGTGACTCCCCACAACTTTTTTGAGCATGTCCAAATGTCCCCAGTTCTGCACATCTAAGAGTTGCCTTTACCTCTTACCCTTGTGACAATAGCTCAGGATCCCACCCAGTACCATTAGGAAGCCCCTTTGGGTGCACTTCTCCAGGTGTCTGGGGATACCCCCCAGCCTCAGAAGCCTTCTCCCCTGTGCTTCTGAGACCAAGCACTGGGATTTAACTGCAGGAGGCCTAGAGACCAAAGTAGGGATTACACTACTGGAGAGGAAAATTAAGAACTGACACTGGTGCCCTGTAGCCAGAGTCCTCCAGTGGGGTTTTCTTGCAGCCCTGACTACCCATGTCCCCATGGTCCCAAGGTGCATACCTTTATTCATTCCCACAGATGATCCTTGCCAGGCAGGAAGGAAGAGAGGTGGGGTAGCAACACACTTAGCTCTAGTTTCAACACACCCCTGGGTTCTTGGACTTTTGGTTGTTGTATAGAGGAAGCCTGAGGCATGGAAGACAGGGCCAAGAGGTGGGCAGGGTTCGCCTGTCCCCACAGCCCTTGGTAGTGCAGTGTGAGGCAGCTGCCCAGAGATGCCATGGCCTCATGGGCTGTGACCTCAATGGGCCCCCTCTTTCCCCCTGCAGATCCAGAGAAGGAGGGCCTTTCCAGGAAGAAGTCGGGCCTGGCTTCTTTCCGGCTGAAGAGCAAGGACCAAGGTGAGTGCCCTGGCTCAGGGCCTCAATCTTCCCACAGTTTCAAGAGGACCTGATTGTGTGGGGTGGGGGCAAAAGCAGTGGCCTCCAACCTCCATGACACCCACATCAGTTGGATAAGCTAACAACCTTGGACTAGACCCCAAATGAGGGCTTCAATAGCCACAACTTAGAGGGCTGGAGCAGTCAGCAAGGGTGCCCTGGAGAAGATGGAGGTGCTAAGAAATGAATCGTGGACCAGAGTGGTGGAGGATAGGATAGAAGGGAGCAGGGTCCTCACAGGTCCAGTGCTCTAATGTCTCCTTCCCACTGAGGGTCTAGTCACACTCTGGCCTGGTATTTGAGGACACTTCTCCTTGGGATGGCAACTCCTGAACTGCTTTTCTCATTCTCCCTTTTCAGCCCCATCATTCCTAAAGGAGCTGTCAGATGAGACAGTGATCCTGGGTCAGTCCGTGACGCTTGCCTGCCAGGTGTCAGCCCAGCCTGTTGCACAGGCGACCTGGAGTAAAGGTAACAGACCTCCTGAGGGCAATGGCTCAGAGTGGAGCAAGTCACAGGCTGAGCATGAACATGGCCCCACCAGCACAGCAAGTGGCTGGCTAGGCTTTCCTCACACCCAGTGCCCAGCCCAGCTCCTGAACAGCCATGTGCCTGGATACTGTGCTGGGGAGTAGCCATCCATGTGCAAGCCATGATTTGTCCTTTGGCAGATGGCGTGCTTCTGGAGGGCAGCAGCCGACTTCTCATCTCCTCCACTCTCAAGAACTTCCAGTTTTTGACCATCCTGGTGGTGACTGCCGAGGACCTGGGCGTGTACACTTGCAGTGTGAGCAATGCGTTGGGCACGGCAGTCACCACAGGGGTGCTCCGGAAAGCAGGTGAGTGCACCACGTAGGCCCTCTTGGTGGGGCGGTGGTGGGGACAGCCATGCCACTGCCTCCTCCCTGAGGTCTCTGCCTGGGCCTGGGACCTCATCTCACTCTGTGAGCCTCTGAAGCTTGCTGTTTTGGTGAGTAGGGCCCTAGAAACCGTGGTCCCCAGTGCATTGACTCTGGGCAGCCCCCAGTTCTGACAGGGCCAGGGGATTGCATGCTGACTTTTATGGCCTGGGGATATCTCTGTCTAGTGTCCCCACCAAGGCCTTCTCCCTGACCCACTCTTGCTTAGAGACCAACTCGTCCTCACATTGCACATAGGATGTAAAGCCACTTATAAGACACCCACACAGCAAAGGGAGAGAGATGAAAAAAATAAAACAGGAAAGTATACTCTGGGAGCAAGTGGCATAGTTGGGGAAGGAGAGTCAGAGGGGACAAGCAGAGCTGTCCCCTGCTACACTGAGCTGTCACTGGCCCTGAACTTGTCTGTGGCTAAAGCAGCATGGCCAGGACAAGAGGGGAGAGGGAGAGAAAGAGGAGAGTCACAGACAGAGACACAGGGAAAGGGAGACAGAGAGACATAGAAAGGAGAGAGGGGGAGGGACAGATAGAGAAGAGGGAGAGACAGACAGGGGAGAGACAGGGCTAGTTCCGCATAGAGCACTGGGAACAAAACCTGTTAATTCACACCATTGTCCCAAGAGCAAGTGTACCCATTTGTTGGAGAAAGTTGAGCCAAGCACTTGGTTCCACTACTCCTTCCCATGGTGCTTTCTCAGCCACATCCCTGCAGCAAGTGCATGAGAAGGCTGTTTCATGCTTTGTTCCTCTATCAAAGTTGAGGCTATGATCCCAAAATACAGTTCCCAGGAAGTATTTTGGGGGAGCCAGGGCAGTGCTGTGGGCCCAGCCCTCAGACACCTGGCTTACGCCTGGAGGAGGACAGCAGCCTTGGCAAGCCTCTCAGTACCATCTTCAGGACCTGGCCAGGCTCTCCATTCTGTTGGGAAGAGCACTGGGCACTGGGCACTGGGCAGAACCCTCCAGACCCCCCAGCCAGGACATAGCCCTGAACCAGGCCTCAGGAGACACCAGGCCCTCTGGCCAGTCTATGCTGCAGCAGGACCCCCCAAATGACAGGACCAGGGAAGAGTGGGCTCAGGAACCTAGGCAGCAGCCCACAGTGGATGTGGGGTGGGAAGGCCTACCAGGGCAAGTATGACATAGAGGGGAAAAACAGTTACATCAGGCAGCCATTTCCAGCCTCACAGCTGCTTACCATCCCTCCCCCACAGAACTCCCCTTGTCCTCCCCACGCCCGGACATTGGTGAGGTATATGCGGATGGGGTGCTGCTGGTCTGGAAACCTGTGGAGGCATGTGGCCCTGTCACCTACATTGTGCAATGCTGCCTGGAAGGTATCTGCTGAGCCAGCTCTTGGGGGAGCGGCTCTCTAGGGTTCCAGTGGGGGTGGGGGTGGGGGTGGGGGTGTGCCAGTGAGTGGCTGTTCTCTCCTCTCCATTAGTGGGGCAACCTCTCATCCCCTCCTTCCCATGCAACCCAGGTGGTAGCTGGAGCACTCTGGCCTCCGACATCTTTGACTGCTGCTATCTAACCAGCAGGCTTCCACGGGCTGGCACATATGCTTTCCGGACGGCCTGCGTCAGCAAGGCAGGCATGGGCCCCTACAGCAGCCCCTCTGAGCAGGTCCATCTCGGAGGGCCCAGCCACATGGGTAAGCCTCCTGCTTCAGCCTCCTCACAACTTCCTGTCTTCACCTCTGAGAGAAAGCCCCTCTTAACCTCTGTTTGGTCAGCACACTCTGGGGCCCCTAACTGCCCAGGCCCCTGCTTCCCACAACCTGCCCCCAGGAACAGATGAGTTGATCTGAAGGTTCATGCTAAGCCCTGCGAGTGCCTCCCCAGTACTGTGCTGGGGACTCCAGGTGTCTGGTCTCAGGGCTTTGATTATTAATGACAAAGTGTAGTGGTTAAAGCATTTGCCTACTAACCAAAAGGTTAGTGGTTCAAACCCACCAGCCATGCTGTGGGAGAAAGATGAGGCAGTCTGCTTCCATAAAGATACAGCCTTGGAAACCCTACAGGGCAGTTCTACTCTGTCCTAAAGGGTCATTATGAGTCAGAAGCAACTCAGTGGCAGTGGGTTTGGGTTTGGTTTTGGTGGATCCAGCACTGGTGGCTGGCACACATGTTATCTGTGGTCCCAGCCAGGTGGGGCTGTCCCCACTACATTGTATAGGGGACTATAGTACACTCTGCAGCTTCAACACCTTTGTATACACCTCCTCATGGTTTTTCTACCTGCTATGCCCCACTGTGGGCTGAGGAATGAAGATTCTGAGTGTGTGTGTCCAATGAGTTCAAAGGAGGATCCCTGTCCAGTTCTTCAGGAGAAGTGATGGAGGAAAAGGTGGGGGAAACTGGGGTTGGCTGGGGTGTGCCCCATAGGCCTCCCAGGCATCCCCTTCCTCTTCCCACAGCCTCTGAGGAGGAGAGTGGCCACACACTGCCAGCCCAGCCCCTCTCAAGCACACAGACCTTCGCCTTCCAGATGCAGATCCGGAGGTGCCGAGGCTGTGGGCAAGCAGACAGGGACAATGCTTCGCTGGCCCCTCAGGCACCCACCCCAGCTTCAGCCTCCCTCTCCATGTCTCACCCCCACCTGCTTCTGGTCCAAAGCATCTTCCAAATGCATCTCCTCCTGACTGGCCCCTGAGCTTACCCCTGGAAGGTTCTGCCACCTCCTGGCTGAGTGCCCTCCCTGGGGTCCCACATTTCCGCCTGCTGCTCTAAGTGTGGGAAGGGGCAGAGGCCTGCAGGGGGCTTACAGGGAGGGACCTTACCAGCCTGGCTGATACTTCTCCTTGCCCAGGGGTCGCTTCAGTGTGGTGCGGCAGTGCCGGGAGAAGGCCAGCGGGCGTGCTCTGGCAGCCAAGATCATCCCCTACCGCGTGGAGGATAAGACAGCTGTGCTGGGCGAATACAAGGCCCTCAAGGGCCTGCGCCATCCACACCTAGTCCAGCTACATGGTGCCTACCTCAGCCCAAGGCACCTGGTACTCATCCTGGAGCTGTGTTCTGGACCAGAGCTGCTCCCTTGCCTGGCTGAGAGGTGAGAGAGACAGGTGCAGGCACAGGAAAGACCTGCCAGAAGCAGGGCTCTCAGAAGCAAGGGAGTATGAGAACTTCTGCCCCACTCCCTGCTGTCTGACAGCAGAGCCAGGCTGCTCCCCACCAGGCAGTCTCAAGGGTCCTCGCCCCAGGGTGCTCCTCCACATTCCCATCTGCCCCCCTCCAGATTTGGCAATCTGGAACCTGGCTGAGCCAGCCTTCATGCCCCCAGGCCCTCCTACTCTGAATCAGAGGTGAAGGACTACCTGTGGCAGATGCTGAGCGCTGCCCAGTACCTGCACTCCCAGCACATCCTGCACCTGGACCTCAGGTCCGAGAACTTGATTGTCACAGAGTACAACCTGCTTAAAGTCCTTGACTTTGGCAATGCCCAGAGCCTTGCCCAGGAGAAAGTCCTGCCATCGGAGAACTTCAAGGATTACATGGAGACCATGGGTGAGAGTGTGGGGAAAGAGACATCCAGGGCCTGACCTCTGAGAGTTGGAGGCCCAGGGGCAGGGGGAGCGTGCCAGCCAAGAGGAAGACCTATGTGTGCTGCCCACCTGCTCACTCCTCTTCCACCTTAGTCCTCCCTTTTATGCTCAGTCCTCCTCTGTCAGGTAGTCCCTACCCTCAAAACCCTCACCTGTGTCCACCTACCTATACCAGCCTCTCACCTATGCCCACCCACCTGTGCCCCTTCCCAGCTCCAGAGCTACTGGAAGGACAGGGTGCAGTCCCACAGACGGACGTCTGGGCCATCGGAGTGACAGCATTCATCATGTGAGCCCTTGCACCCTTGTATAGAAGTGCTGGATGGGAGGGGTAGGCCTGGGATCCATCCAAGGGTGACCTCCAGACTGCCCTCCCCTACCGCACCCTGGGATCCATCTGAGAGTGGCCTCAGAGTCCCCGGGCCACCTTTCCTCTCCCATGCAGGCTAAGCGCCGAGTACCCCGTGAGCAGCGAAGGGGCACGAGACCTGCAGAAAGGCCTGCGCAAGGGGCTCATCCGGCTGAGCCGCTGCTATGCAGGGCTGTCAGGAGGCGCTGTGGCTTTCCTCCGGAGTACGCTATGCACCCATCCCTGGTAAGCAAGGGCCCGAGCCCGCCCTGCACCACCCTGCTCGCGCTCTGGGCAGAGGCAACTGACCACCCTCCCTCCCCTTCTCCCCACTCCAGGGGCCGGCCCAGTGCATCCAGCTGCCTGCACTGTCCTTGGCTGACTGAGGAGGGCCCGGCGGGTTCCAGGCCGGCAGCTGTGACCTTCCCCACTGCACGCCTGCGCGGCTTTGTGCGTGAGCGGGAGAAGAGGCGGGCGGTGCTGTACAAGAAGTACAACCTGGCACAGGTGCGCTGAGCGCCTGCACAAGGAGGGAGGCCTTGGGGTGAAGAGGGGCTCTCTAATGGGACACCACATACGCATGACACACCAATAAAAAAAAAAAAAAAAAACTGGTAAAAAAAAAAAAAAAAAAAAAAAAAGTAGAACCTGGTGAGATGTTTTCTGTTTGTCTTGTTTGGGGAGGAGGCTAGGGCCGACAGCTGCTGCGCCATAGGTGTCATTAGGAACAGATTAGCAGTGTTTTGAGATGTTACCCTGCTCATAAGTGTGTATGTATTTCCTCTTAACTGCTATGTGTTAGTTTTATTTCATCATACGAATTTACAGCTTTTTAGCTTGCCTTTTCCTTATTGATGAGCATTTAGCTTATTTCCAGAACTTCTGTTATAAATAGTGTGCTAATAAAATTCTTGTACACAGCTTCCAAAGCAAGCGCCAGAAGCACGTGGTAATAATGCGCACCCTGGTGGGAAAGAGTATCTTACCAACCAAGGACTTCTATTAGAATTATTGGGGGCATGGGGGAAGGGTATGATACAAAAACTACCAACTTTTAAAATTCTCACCATAATGCCTTTTCCTCCCTTACTGCCTGCATTCTCGATGCCTCTGACCCTGGCTTGAGTATACCTACTTCTCTACATTAGGTGCTGGGTTGTGCAGGAGTTTTTAGGTTGTGTATCCTCCCTCCCTGGATGCACTGGTGCTACCAGGTGTTCATTCTTGCCTTCAGGAAATAAAAAAGGTTGAGGGGCAGGAAGACTAGGAGGAAGAGCAAGAGGAAGGAAGAAAGCAGAAGAGGAGCCACCCCTCACATTCCAAAGCTGGCCTGGCACTCACAGCTGGGCTGTTGCTCTTCCACTGATTGCCTCTGACAAGGTTACTCTGAGACCATGATAGAGTGAGGCAAGATAAGGCCAATTATAATTTTGTCTAAGCACTAAAAATAAACCAAGGTTGCTGTGCACCCGCAAAACACCAAACACTCCCTCTGCTGCTTCTTGACCCATTGAAGATTTATCCTCATTTCAGTCTGTTCTCTTTGTAGATAAGATTTTTTTCAGATGTCCAGTCATAGAATTCAATACTTTCTGACAGTATCTAGTCTAGATCAAATTGCAGTTTACTTAGATTCTCCCATCAATCACCCAATAAAGCCCAAATAGGTCCTTTCTAACATGATCTTATGGAGACACCCCACTGTTCCCATGATGCAAGTGTATCCTCTCTCACTGCACCAAGTAATAAACCCACCTTGTTCAACTACAACTGTGTTCCTGGGAGTCTTGCCTGGAGAGCAAGAGTAGCAGTTTCTGTCCCCTGCTCTCTGGTCATCCCCAGAATTGCAGATTGGAGGTCTTCGTGAGTGCCAAAGAATCCAGCCTGCCTTTCCTTCCTGCTCGCTAGGCCACTGTTTTTACATCTTGGACACCTCTTTTGGATGTTCATTGAACCCAGGACACTCCATCTAAAAACTAAACATCTCTAAAACTGAAATGGACCCACACACTACCTCTACCTCCTACTTTCCAATCTCAGTCAATGGTATCACCATTCAACCAATCACTAGTGAAGGTACCTTCATCTTTGGCACTATGCTTTCTACACAACTTGCCTCATTCTCTGATTAGCTGGTTCGGGTGAGCTGGAACACATGTGCTTCTGCTCTGTGCAGGAACGCTGGGTTCTCAGGTGGGCAGAGAATCATCTTCACTAGTTCATCCTCCCACCCCTACCCCACCAAATGAGCCCAGCTTCAGAGGCATCAGAAATAGGCTATGTCACTGAGTCAGTTCCTTCTAGGACAGTGAGGGCTGAGTCAGAGTTGGGGTGAGATGCTCAGGCACCAAGCTGAGACTAAAGTCTTTTTTTCTGTCTAAAACAAGAGATCTCATTCTTTTCCCATTGTTCTAAATCCCCCAAAATCTAACACATTTAATCAGCCAAGTGAAATCAATGATGTCCTGTCTCAGGGTGCACCCTCACCACCTGTCCCAGCTGAGGCCCAGCTGCAGCAACAGAAAAGGAAGTGACCCACTGGCCTTAGAGCCACCTTCTCAGAAGTGCTCTGTGACCACAGCCATGACATGCAAACCTGTTCCCTACATTTCATCAGAAAAATTTTCATACAGAAAAAATGAAAGACATTTATAGTGAATATGTACCTATAATTCACATATTGATCCCCTTGGTGTATATCACACATTTACCTACCCCTCTGCTCACCCATCCAACCATCTTATTTTTTATAGCATAGTGCCCAAGGCATTTGACTGCTAACCAGAAGGCTGGTGGTTCAAACACACCACCACTCCTTGGAAGGAAGATTGGGTGATCTACTTCCATAGTGATACCGCCTTGGAAACCCAAGGAGGGGTAGCTATAAGTCAGATCTGACTCGACGGCAGTGAGTTTGGTTTTGGTTTGGTTTCCAAAGTTTTGCAGGTGTGAGTCCTCTTTGCCCATAAACACATCCACATGCACCTCATTAGCCATAGTCCAACGTTTTTGTCTCTTTTGAAAAGAAAATATTATATGGAGTGTCAAGTCTAGACTTGGTAAGAGGAGTGGAGGAGCTAGATCATGGCAGGTTGCCACACCTGAGGTGACCAACTTGTCCCTGTTTAAAACCTGAAGCACCTTCAGTTCTGAAAACCTGGGACAGCTGGTAAGCCCAGCCTTACCCCTATGCTAGCTCCTGTAGCACCTCTGCTGGGGCCCTGAGTAACACAAGGCAGAGTTTGAAAACAACTAGTCTGTCCTCCATGCTCAGTTCCTTGGGCTGGTGACTTTCAAGGCCCTGTAGAGCATGGCTGTGGCAGCCTTTTCTTATTCTGAAGCCAAAGGAAACTAGTGAGTGTCCAGTTAAAGTGGTTGACGGAGGTTGAAGATGGATCCCAGGCCTGTCTAAAAGAAATTCCATAAAACTCACTGAACTAACCTGAATTGTTGTTGGGTAACAAACATTCACCAAAACCTTCTGCAGCCAAAGGTGTTTTACTATTATTATTATTATTATTATTATTGTGACATATCAGAAACAAAAGTAAATAATAGGAAATTGGCTGCCAGCACTATAGCTGACTATAAACAGAACAAAATCCAAAAGAAGTACAAATTCCACCTGCTTTTTATACAATTTTAACAGGTAAATAAGTCTTTCAACATGCACTTTACAATCATTGGTGCACGTACCTATGAGTAAGTTATTTACTTGCTATGATTAATCAAAGTAAAAGCAAAGAACTAAGATTACGTTTGAGTAAACTTTTCTTGTTTTTCTAAACAACAGTCTCTTGGCTCAGGAGTCTTGGATCTGTCATATGATGGGTTATTATTATTATTGTTATTATGTGAGCTATGTATGGTATTGGGTAGATCTTTAACTCACTTCTTGATATAATGTTATTCAGTTTTGCTATGCATGTCCCCCCTCTCCATTGTCTGTCATCCATTAGACTGGTTGTAGCACTCTGTTCTGTGTTTTGAGTCATCTGTTTATTGTTTGAAAGGTCTATAAAAGTTGACAAACAAGTAGGTCTTTGTTTATGACCTGCTGTGATTTGACTAACCCTTCATCAGTCCCTCTTTTTGACTGCTAATTACTGTAAATACATCAATGATCACAGGATCATGGCTGGACTCTCCTGGGCTTCCAGATGGTGGTCATGGGAGGTACTTTAAACTCATGGTCTGATTTTTCACTGTGTCCCATCTGGTTCTTCACCGGGGTTTTTAGGTAAGGTTTACAGCTCTGTTGATCATATTGCAAAAGTGGGCAGAATCAATATACATTTTTGGTTTAGGAGTTGGATGTGTGTTGAGGTGCTAGCATTTATTTATTCCAGCAACCACACATTTGAACACATTATAGATTAAGATTATTAGTATTATTGTAATTAAAATGCCTTCCAAGAGTGAGTGAGCCCAAGATCCTATTCCTTGAGGTAGCCATCCAAATAAATCTGGGGTTTGTAGAGGAGGAATAGAGTGTAGCCAAACAGCCTGCTTTCTAATTTCTTGGCTGTTTACCAAGGAACAACAGGATGTACTGGCCACCACACATCGTCCTATTTTATGACAATAAGAAATCTAAAACAATCTGTTTGTCCAAGACCACCTTTGCTGAGGAAGTGAATTATTTTTGTTGAGCTGACATTCCATCAGCTACATTATCAGCTATTTGTGCCATTGTGACAGATGAATTTCATTTAAAAATTTCTAATTCTACTATACCAAAGAAGGGAATTAATGCTCTTAAAAATGACCAGCCCCACCCTGGCTCTTCTACTATGGGATTTTCCTATACCTCTCTTTTGGGTATTGAAATTAGTTTGCTATCACTTATCTGGGAGCTCTGGTAGCGTAGTGTCTAAGGCACTTGACTGCTAACCAGAAGGCTGGTGGTTCAAACCCACCAGCCACTCCTCGGAAGGAAGATGGGACAATCTACTTCCATAGTGATACTGCCTCGGAAACCCAAGGAGAGGTCGCTATGAGTTGGGTCCAACTCGATGGCACATAACAACAACATCACTTATCTAATATTGATTAGATAATAATTAGATAATACTGATTAGATATTGACTGATGGGGGATAAACATCAAGGGGAACATCTATGGATCCTAGAGTGCATTGTTCTTGCATTCTCCACCCATTTACACACTAGACAGCCCATGCAGAAGGCCTGTCCTTAGGAAAGGGATTATTTAAATAACTGTAATTAGATACCCTAGATAGGAACACATAACCATAAGAAGCACAAATAACTATCGGTACAAGGTTCAGGAATAAAAAAATTTACGTATGTTAGCCATTGTTATTACATATTTGTAATAGATTGTTATTACATATTTGAAGTCTTCCAAACTTAAGTTTTAACATAGTATAATTCTCAGAATAAGGATTATCATATTAGGATTATTATATTTGTACTGGTTTTATAGGGATATTTAGGATACGGTTCATCTAGAGTTCTTAAACAAGTTTTACACCAATGATCATAATACCTAGG